AATAGACAAAAATTTAAATTCAAAATTTTTCCCAGTCTATTAAATAAAAAAATGAGAGATATTCAAATTGATATTTTTATTTTAAAACTAAATTAGTACAAACGTAATTTTATTATCTAGATTTCTTTACTCCAAGGTATTATTCCATATTTTCAGAAAAGACATGATTGTACTTATAATTAACTTAGATCGTCTTAAGGCACGTGTTGTTTTTAAATAAAAAAAAAAATTCCTAGTGTTTTTTCATCATAACGAAGCTTTTTAGGGGGCGTCGAGAAAAATTCAATTTTTAACGACCACCCTAAAATAAATATATGTTTATCTAATTTAAAAAATTATACTCTGAATAGGATTTTATTACATTACACCATATAACATATTCAAACATTACAATTTAGTTGGGACTATAATAGATAACTGAATCATTATTTTATTAACTTTTGACAACCATTTGTATTTTCAGATTATATCACCTACCCGGTGAATGGTACAAACTAAATTGTTGTTTCAATAATATAAAATTTTGTTTATTTCTTATTTTTATGCTGATTTTGTCAAATTTGGTTTATCTGTATTCTTACTCCAGAAATTGATTATTTTTTAAAACATAGAACCTTAAATGCTTTATAGTTCCAAACAAAACAATCGTCTGATTTATAAAACTAACAATAACATAAGGTACACACTGTCCATTTTATTAGGGCGTTTAACGTTGATATGGAATGACGTTAAAAAAATTGCCTACTAAGTATATTTCAGATTTGTAGATTATTTCGTAAAATATGGTTACCAAATTATTTGTTGCAATACTCATATACCTACCTATCAAAAACAATTTGATATATTTGTAAGTTACAAATTGTAACATACTTTATTTAAAAATTTTGTATTTTGCCCCACTATAAGCATGGACCTGAGATATAAAAATGTACAATATATTGAGGCTATGTGGTTATTATATGTTGTTATTATTAAGTATTACATAATTATTGCAACAAACATTTTAATTGGCTATATTAACTATTTATGGTAAGAATTAGATACATGTCGCTACCATTAACACAAAAGCAAGAAGTACCACACAACCATGAGCCGACAACAAACAACACGCTTACATTCTAAAAACCTTAAAAAACTAATTTTAATCGTTATACAACTTACAATTTTAGTATAAAATTTAGTCCCCCTTATTTTTTTTGAAAAGTTTTTTTATGTTTTTTTATAAAAACTTATCACGTTCGAGTTCTTATCAAATACAATTAAATCACACTTTTCTACGGAACCACCGCTTCGTAAAATTTTGAGCCAATAAAAATAACAATATAAAAACTTTTAACCTTAAAATACTAAGTACTCTTACTTTTCATATAAAAATATAATATCACAAATTCCGAATTTCTCACATTACCAATTGTTCATCATGTTTGTTCTCATGGTTGGTGGTGGAAGATTCAATGCAGCTAAACAAGAATACAAGCCAAACACTCACATATACATTATCTACTTGCAGCCAAGCTACTACTACGTTTACATAAAGTGGTGCTCTATGGTACGACCCTTACCCTGATTGCGCCTCCATAAAAAACACTGAAAATAATGCATGAGTTGCAAACTCGCATATATTTTTACCTTCATATATTGTGCATCGACAGCCTTTTAAAAAAAATTACTTGTTGCGATTACTTTTAGAATTCTTAACCGATCGAGTAATTTTGTTATTTTAATTGCATGGTGTTGGATGGCAAAGAAATTTAAATTCTATGATTGGATACAAAATATTTTATCACAGATTATTATTTATCAGTAGGTATGGAGGATTTGAGCGTGATGTTTTTCTTCTAGTCTTTTGGTTGTATTAAGATTGTTTTAGTCTATTACGAAATACTTCTAAAAAATATATGTTCAGTCTTTTTGTTATTATTCGCAGTACTATTGCATTTGCACCTTAATTTAAAATTGATATTATTTCAGAATTATTATTACATCCATGCAATTAAAATAAAAAAATTAGAAATGTTTCTATTACTAGTATACCGAGTCGCTTGTCTAAAGAGGACGCTGGACCGTTGAAGATTGTTAATTTGTTTTTTTTTTAATAAGGTTTTTCGAAAACAAACTATTTTAATAAATTACTCCAATTTGTTTTCATGTACTTTTTATACTTTAATTACTAAAACTTAATTGTTTTTTATTGCACTGTATTTATCTAGCGTTCTCGTAATAAATCTACTTTTAAAATAAAATACTTTGATTTGTAGCAATGGTTTATTGATGGTCCAAAATCTCCATGTGCAATTTAAACATTTAAGTGAGTTTTTTTTATTAAAATAATTATCTTTAAAGAAATGATAAAATTGTTTTTTAGATATAAAATTTACTTTCTGATTTGAGATAAATGTTTTAAATTACAAAAATATAAAAAGTACATGTTAAAAAAAGAAAGTGGTCTATTGAATATTTAGTATTTGACAAATTAAATTGTTAATGATGATCCAGAAATGAGTCGAGCTCTGGCAGCCACCTTATTGGTCCTCGCACCAGCTTTGGTGCTGCGCCTCTCAACGATTACACCTATAATTCCTATTTTAAATTTATATAAAAATCACTAAGAACTAGACTTACAATTAATCGACATATTATTGTAATATCAATTTTTTAAAACTTAATGAATCGAATAATACACCAATTATGTACAAAATTTTTAAGTCTTTAAGACGACCAAGTATTAATACGGGTATTAATACAATTTTTTAATATACCTAAGCAAAACACGAAATTTTAAAAAATGTTTGGAATACTGTCTATTTAAAGAATTTGGTATCAAAATATTTTCCTGAAAATATGTATTTTTAAAAGGTGTATAAATAAGTATATCGTTCCAAAAGATTAAATATCACCTGAATGAGGAGAACAAGCGAAACCTCTAAAACTAAGTATCTATATGCACCCCAAATTTATATAATTGTATAAAAGTTATTCTAATTATGAATGGTATATTTTACAAATGACTTACGAAATGATTATTGAAAAAACGTTTACTTATAATTAGTCTAGTCTAATATTTATTAGACTACTTTACTCGAGACGCGCAATGTTACTAGGTAATAGCTCAATATTTTTCGAAAAATCACAGACTTTTTTAACTTATTCGGATGAGACATTAAATTTTAAGACATTTGATTACATCTAAAAAATGTTTGGTTAAACCAAAACAATGCTTGTTTTAAATACGACACACAATATGACAAAAAATGTTTACTTTTAATGATTTTAGGCATCAATAACAACAAGAAGCAAAATATCTACTCACAAGTCGATTTTAGAGCCAGCTTAACTTAGTCTAATGTTTTAGGGATGGCGCATGCAATTTTAACCTTTAAAGCTACATACATTAAGGTTTACTATATTTCTAGGGCACATAAGCTCGCACACACTCAACGAATCAAGTCGGTCGTGTTGATTATTAGACAATAAAAAGTAAAGCAAAAATTACGATTTGTTTTAATTTTTGGATTTAAATTTACAACTACATTTTGGCATACACTGGGTGTGTAAAATTTAAAAGCAAAGTTAATGACTAGATTATTAAATATTAAGTAATCTATCTGACTTCCTCGCCATTTTCTTAAGAAGATAAATACTCCAAAATCGTTAAAAATCGTAATTTTTCTTTATAAATTCTACTTCATTGTATTAGTGTATAGTTAAAAATAACAAAAGCTTTGGCTAAACGGAGATTAGGAATTATTTTACCCTCAACAATTGATTATATGTAATATTTATTATTATATAAAATTTGCAAAAGTAACGAACGGTTTGTACTTGAAGCAATTTCCTAGATCTGCCACATTCATCATGATTTAAACTTAAATCCACTTAAACTTGGGCATCTGAGTACTTTGTACGACCGTTTCTGAAAGACTTCTTTCTTGTTTTGTGTGACATACAGGGAACAGAGGTGCTTGATACAGTTGTACTTACAAGTAAAGTAATTTATCGTTTAGCTTTCACGATATGTTTTTTTTGAAAATTAGACGAGTCAGACGTACAATTAATTATATTATCTAAAAGCAAATATTAACAAGACTTTATTAATAAAAATAACAACAAAAATTCGTTTAAATAAAAACATTATTCTATTATAATATTAATTAACTAAAACAGATTTTTCTTATATTGTACTATAGGTAATTAGAATACTGGCGTGACCTGAAGTAACAAAAGGAGGCATAATTTTGAGAAATGCCAACCAAATGACACCATAATCGAGTGTTTTTAATTCTTATATACTTTCAATAAATTATGAAATTGTCCATACGTCATATAGGTATTTAATAATATTAAGTCTCCTTTGGCCATTTTGAGTCGCAAACAAAAAATAAAATAGTAGTTAGGTTAAAATAAAGATTGTTTCAAGCACCTCTTTGAGGATGATTGTGGCAGTGTGCTACTCGCAGGGAGACCGACATTCCCTGAATCCATCACGTAGGTAAACATCGATAACGACTAACAGGACACAGGCATGCAAAATTTCCGCTCTCACAACACATGTTATTCAATCGTGCACGTTCGCGTCGGGACGTTCTCACACCTATCACTAATTATTGGGACACAGCAATTATTACTATCGTACTATTGAATGTTACAATTATTAAGTAAAGCGATTTTTAGGTCCGCTGTAGAAAATAAAAAAACAAAAGTGCTAACCCAATCTAAAATGTAGGCTAAAATGCACAGAAACTGGCTTTTAAAGCAAAGTAAATCAGACACCTTTAATCAACGCTGCGTTGATTTATATGTTTTGTCATTTTAATTAGAATATCGTTTCGATCTGAAGGGTCTTTAGTTGGGCAAACCTGTTTCCGCGATAAAATAAAACTGAATTTAATAACAAAAAGTTAACGATATAATCACAATTATCCATCATTTTTAGACTTAAGTAGAATAAATTCACTAAAAACTAACAAACATATAATTGTAATAATAAACTAATAACATAACGGTTTTATATTAAACAAATATTTAAGAAAACAGTTCTGCTATTTGCCGAGCCGTCGCTTACTTTAGCAGCAGAAAAGACCAAAAATAAATGCAAATATAAAAAGCAACAACATAACAAAGAAAACTAAGTGGCTGCATTATGAAAATCAATCATGTTATGGATATTCTTGTTAAAGTTCCATAGGTAATAATTGTTATGCAAATGAAAAAACCGATTGATTTTGCATAAATAAAACCTTATGCGTCTACCGAGTTCTAGTCAATTGCAGTCGGCAAAACTCATCGAGGCGCAAGCCAGCCAGCTCGCGCCACAATAAACCCAAATCCAAGTCCATCGGGTCCGGGTCTGGAGGTGTTGGCGGAGACGGCGGCGCTTTGGTGACGGCTCTGGGGGCCGCGGGCTAAGGCCACATCTGCAGCGGTCGCGGAGCGACCTGGCGGGTGTAGCAGAAACCTAGCGGTTTCACGAAATGCGTGTCGAGAGTGCGACAATGCGGGCACGGCACCATGTGACTGTAGTCGCTGAAGAAATTCAGTCTTTGCGCTGGGTGCAATACCGGCTTGTAGCATGAGTTACACTGCAACAAAAATAAATAATATTGCAGGTATTCAAACTTAAAAAGTTGCCAAAAAAGATTTGTTGAACACTTAGTATACTTTTTAATGTAGGTATGTGTAGTGCTATTTTTGCAAAATATGTTTCATATTTTATTTGGTTTCTAAATAATTATTTTACACCATCCTACAAAAAAGCAATAAAAAGAAGTGAGCAGGGGTACCCGAAACCATACAAAAGAAAAAATGTTTAATTTTAATAACCATTAATTGGTATTATCTTTTTTGGACTTTTTGCCAGCTTTTATTATTGAAAGGCTTTCTAAAATGGAACTTGTATTTTTATTAAAAATTTCAGAAGGGCGTTCTTAAAAAATTACAACGCAATCCGTTGTTCAAAGCCAATGGTTTCTTTTGTAAATTATTATTGAATTTTTTTACAATACTTAATTTTTTTGTTTAAAAAATATGACATTAAAAGTTAACAAAAACAAAAAATAACTAAACAACTTCTATGTCTTGAAAACTATTTTTCAAAGTAAGAAATAGTGTCGGGTTTATATGAAATTATAAAATAAAACATTGGTAGATTAATAGTATATTATTATACAAGAGATAATGCAGGCTATTATTCACGAGGGTAAGGTTTGCTTCTCGAGTCGCCAGACGAGAGACTTAAATCATCCGAGTGAATAATGTGCATAATCTCGAGTGTAATACTATACTTTATCTACTCCATTAAGTAGATGGGTCATTTTCAAGAAACACCCGCTTTCAGGAAAATGAAGATCAAAATTTTTTTTTAAATTGACTTTTGGTTGGATTTTTATAAATATTTAGAGTTTTGTTTACTTACATTTAAAACAAGCAGTGCACTTTTTAATTTTTTTTACGTTTTTTTCAGAAAAATGTATTTAGCTAGCTTTATAATATATTATGTCTCCACTGTGTTACCAATTTGAAGTTTAAAATTTAATTCAATAAAAAAAGTTCTTAGTTCACAAACTTTTGACTCCAATTTTATTTTTTATTAAAAATTGTATGCCTTTTTTAATATTTATGTTAGTCAAGTTACTTTTTAAAAGACACCACTCCGATTCTTTGTTAAAAAACAATACCATTAATATTTTCTTTTACTCACTGTATTAGTGAGTTAAATTCTAATTTATAAACAGGTATTACCAAGTGATAGTAAAATCATTTTAAGGATTTTTTTTTAACAAAAACTAAAAAAAGTAACGAAATAGACATTGGTATCACAACGGACTGGGGTACACAAAGGACTTGATCAGATAACGTAAAAAATAAACTATATAGGGTGGTACGATTTTAATTAATAAACAAAATCCCTTGTAGTGGTGCTCACTTGCAGAATAACAACTTAGATTTTTAAATTATAGATACCCTTTTTCTTTGACTATAAGCTGGTGTCTTTTAGTACTTGTATATTGCGTGGAATTTTCCCTTGGATGTAATCTATATCATGAGTTGTAATCACAAGTAATTTTAAATTGGTTTATCATAAACTACTTTTAATAAAAGCGAAAAAATTTATTGCGTTACCCTAAATTCCATTTCGTTACCATAAGGTAACGTAATGGAGTCGGTAACGCAGTGGACAAAGTTTTGTGAAACCATATTCATTAATTACTCTCAATGAGCTTTAGTGCCCTAAAATAAACATAAACATGAAAAATTGTATTTTTTCTTAATTTATTTTTATTATTTTTTTGAGTAACTTAGCGGACAAACAATTATTACATTCGCGTTACCCGCACCTGTTTCAACCGATATCTTCTTCCTGATTGAATAAATAAATTCAGCTGGGTAATGTGTACGTCCGAACATCATTTGTTAATCACGTGAGTGTCAAAAAAGTTGCCATATATATGTTTTTTTAAATATTCTATCGGTAACGAGACGGACGTAACGCAACGGAAAAAATGTCTGGGACATGAGTCAAATATAAAAAAGTAGATTAAAATTAATTAATTTATATAAATTGTTTACTTTATTAACTAAGGATGTTATGGATTGCTATAAAGCAACAAAAAGTTCTGGTTATTCAATATTTAAAAAAAAATGTTTGGAAGTTTTATAAAACCCTAATGGGACATGCCTAAATGTGTGTTTCACAAGTTTCAAAATTAAAAAAAAAATATTCTGAAATAACTAAACAAACATTTTCTGAAAGAGTTTACTAAGGGCTTGTTAGGCTTTCACTTGGTTTTTAAATAAATAAGATCCGATAATTTTTAACAAAGTTATTGGAATTCAAACTTACGGACAGAGGAAGGCGGGTGTTTTTTCAAAACGACCCAGATAATTAAACTATTTTTAAAAATTAATAAATAAAATATGATATCTGTCAGTTTTAAATATTATTATAGTCGCAATTTACGAATTTAAAACCCGATTGGTTCAAATCACAGTGAATATTGAAATGGGCCAATCACCGATGCCTATAGGCATATAGGGAATTTATAATGTTTATTATTATAAAAGCAAAAAACACAATATTATGCAATTTTACGTATATATCTAATTATATATCTTCAAAAATAAAAAAAGGAAATTTGTTAATATAAGCGGTTATGATGATTTAAAGATTGTATCCTTTAACAAAAACTGTCAGAAAACGCTTCTGTTAAAATCATGTTAACTTCAACTAGCCGCTAAATGCCTTGTTTAATTTGTTTTCATTCCATTCTTATTAGATTTAGAACATGATAGTGGTGCAGTGAATTTGTTTAATTTTAAATTGATTTCTATTTTGTAAACAAACTTATTTTAACTATTTTTTTTACTTTTAATGTAATAGATTTTTAACGAAAAAAAAAAGAATTGTAGAAAAATGTATTATTGATTATCAAAAAAAATTCATTGACTTTGAACAACGCATTGCAGAGTATTTTTGTTTAAGAAAGCACTGTTGAAAAGTTGAATTGTTTTTAAAAAATAAAGAAGTGATTATTTTTTTATAAAATTTATGTAAAGTTATTTCCTTCATGAGGACTATTAAAAAAATGTTTTTCCTGATTGTAAAATTGGCAATCGCTTAAAATTAACCCCTAAGTAGTCACGACAAGTTTTTTTTACCCAAGTAGTCGTGGGGAGCACTTATATTTTATGATATAAATATACGAAATGTAAATAAAAATTTAAACCTTGTTAGTTTTAAGATATTTACCTTAATTCTTTCAGTGCAACAGGGCATGGCAGCAAAAATGTCGTAAGAATACATGGTTCCGAGTACCAGCGAAGATCCGTCCCATTTCTGATTGCAGTAACGGCAAATGATACCGCGACCGGTCACACCTTCCAGACATCCCATGCAGACGACTGTCAGGAACTGGGTGCGACCCTCAACTTTCACCTGTAACAAAAGACAATGTCAGTTAGTCGCATTATTCCAACGTAAGGGCGTCATGCATACAACTCGATTGTTTTAATATAGAGGGTGTCCGAATAATATATTATTAAAGTTATAACTTTAATTTTAAATAAAAGTAAATTTAGCACTAAGGGTTCATTAGATTAAACGTAAACAACATTGTTACTGCCGTTAAATCATATCAAAACTTTACCAAAAAAAAACATAAAAATCAATTGATAAAGGGTAAATTGTAAATTTTAGACGACCAATTATGTGCCAGTGTGGCAAGTTGAAACTAAATTTAGTTAAGGTCATATACATTTTAAGACAATTTGACATTTTTAATAAAAACATAGAAGAAACACTGTTATAAAAATCAGATTTGTTAAAATGAGTTTGTAGTTTGTTAATTTTATTTTGTAAAATTTTAACATTATTTTTTGAAGAAAACCAGGGTTTGTAATTATTTTAACAAAGGAAAAGTACACGTAATTAATCAATACCACTGACAATGCGCATTAGCAAGTTCAACTGACTTCAGCGTCTGCAACTTATGTTTCTGCTTACTTTATTCTAATTCGTAACTTGCTTGTAACAACTATCCAGAGTGTTTATAATATATTACCAAATCTGTTATTATTGTTATTTGGATTCCTTATACCTATTTAACAAGTGTGCGAAGTGCGAAGTATTTGAAAAAAGATGTCATTACTGGTTTTAAAACTGAAATTAGGGGTATCCCCTACAGTGAAGTGGGTTTAAGTTACGAAATACATCAGTAAGTGTTATAGTAGTACTAATAATTATATTGTACTAAGTTTCTTTATAATTTAATGCTTTCAGAATGGTGTGTTATTAAATTGTGTTTGTTGTTTTTGTGATCATTTATGTAGGACAATGATTGTAGGTATGTGTTAATTTTGTTGTTTTAAAAATTGATTAATAAAGCAACATTTCTTATCAAAATTATTTTCATTTAAGTTTCCAATTGCCAACCCATTTGTTACCTCGTCTACAAAAACCTTTGTAAAAATAAGGTCCTTTTTAAAAATGACAAAAATTATGGTTAAATTATTGATATAGGATTTTGTTATTAAATTTACAAAATATTTGTAGACTATCTACTTATTTAATTAGTTAACAGATTACAGTTGGTTGTAAACTTAACATAAAGTTATGTGGACCTGGATTGACATAAAATCTGGTTACACAGAGAAAAGTAATCTCTTGTATTTACTATATTTGGCTTGGCTTAAATAAATTATTTATTTTGATATCTACAAGAAGATATTTATTTATTGAAAAACTTGGATTTATTTGACTTTTTAAACAGATATTTGGTTAATACAAGTAAATATCTAGTTGACTTTTTATCTTAGGTTAAAGAAACAAAATCTACATCCAAACAATTTAATTAATTGCTCTAAATAAATATTTCTTTACAATTAATCACAACAATAAGTTTTTTTCAAGAAACTTATGATTTATAACTAAATAATAGTATTTTATTATTGTAAACAACGAGTTACTACGAATAAGAAAATTTTACTTCATACAAGAAAACCTGTTTCAAATAAATGCATTTTCTTAAATCAAGAGATTACTTTTCTGTGTGTAATATTTGGTTAAAATTAACAAATATTTTTTTACTGGGTAACATTTAAGTTTTTATAATATAATTTAACTTACTTCAATGCATGATTTGGCATGCTGTCTGGGACTAAGGAAAAATGTTCCATCGACCAGAGGATATCTGTCGAAGACAAGAAGTTGCTCCTCGCAAAGGACGCACTGGACTTTTGAGCGTCCTTGTGACGCCAAAGTGGATAAAATGAAACAACGAGTGTCATCGTTTCCATGATTGCCTTCGTCTTCAGTCTGAAAAAGAAGGATAAAAGTTAGTTTTTTACCTAAAGTTTATTAATATGTGTAAATAAACAATCTTGTGTGATTATGTTCTACTAAATGACCACCGATTATAAAGACAAATTAGGTCCCAAAATAATAAAATTCCACAATAAATAGCGAACATTGTCTCCTAGCACTTAGTGCTTACATAACTCTTGGCTAATAGGTTGTTTACTCGATAGGGTAATATATCGAAACCCTGCAAGATAATACCCGAACTTGTGTAAGGACAAATAAAATATCAGGCACATGGGGTCTCAGGGTTGGAACATTCGGGCCCCGGGGTAGGTGATGTATTTTGGGTGGTTGTTTGCCAGCAGTGGTTATTGCGTCCGGTGTTCACCACCTTATTAAACTCACGCCGGATATTATCTTTCGAAGTAGAAGATTGAAAAATCATCAAAGACATTCTTTGTGTCGTTATCGCAAACATTGACAATCTTAAGACGGTTCCTTTGCCATAAAATCCTTGGGATTTATATTTAACGTTATTTTTTACAGTTATTTTATACTGAATTTTATAAACAAATAAAACATAACCGAAATGAACGGTTGGACAAACTTTGAAGGATTGTCTACAGAATAAACATTTTAAAAAGTTAAAATAAACTTAATTCTACTTATTAAAACCTTTATTTTAATACAAATAAAAGATCATCGGAAGTCAGTGAAACTCTTAACTTAGGCACTGCCTTGAATAAATATTTATAAAAAACCTATTTTATAAATTGTATTGAAGAAACATTCTCTTTGAAATACGGACTCTTTGAATTTATTTTATTTGGCATTATAAAGGTTGAAACTGTCCAGACTCGTTATAAAATCCAATAAAGCTCTTTTTATTTGTCCGGTAGAAAAATGTTGACCGAAAGTGTAACAAATTGACTAAATGACATCTTCTGCAAAAACTCGTCGAGTAGAAATATTTAATGACGTCGGCTAAAAGCCACTGTTTGATACAAATACTGTCTCCTTTTTAAAACTTCTTTTTATGAATTTGATATACATCGTGCACAGTACTTAAAAGTTATTTACTATCTAAAAATATCTTTTTATAGGCATATATGTATTCTTTAAAAATGTATTTTTATAAGCATTATTATAAGACAAATGTATGTTTCTGGCCTCTTCATTACTTAACACTTTTAACTAATTATATATTAAAAGTGTGCTTTGAAATAATGACGGGTTATTTTTATTATTTGACAAGTAACAAAATGTCAATTTTAAATGTTTTCAGTAAAAATGCTGTTGAAATATATATATTACGAAGGTATCAAAAGGATCAAATATTTTGTCTAATTTACAGATTTTATAGGTAAATGAATTTAGTTAAATCTTTGAAAGGTAATTTAATTTGAAATTTAAAGAACTGTGCGGGATTCAAGTTCTGCAATCTTTAAGCGGTCGTTACGCAGACATAAAGCCCTCTTGAAAAACATCATAAATTTAAGATATTGCAAGCTAAAATGGCTAGAATCGCTTCATGATTAAAAAAGTGCTGTTGAAATTCATAAATTAGGGGATGCGGTCTGGTCTAGCAGAAAGGTTTTCTTTTACAAAATTTTCGAGAAATGTTATTTTTTTATGAAAATGAATGGAATCTTTTCCTGTAAAATAATATTACTTAAAACTTTAGTATCAAGAACTGTATTAATTATGACTCTAAAAATAGTATATAGCAGTGTTGCCAACCATAGCGGAACTCCGCTGCGCATATATTGCGGGATTTAACTCCAAGAGCGGCGTAGCGGCGGTGGAACAAAATGATAGCAAACTGTAGCGAAATTTAGTTTTTTTTAAGTTAATTTAAAAAGCTAGCGACATCTATAGAATAACATGTTAAACAAGTTTAATTAATTTATGTACAAATTTAAAAACTAAAATAAGGCAACCGAGAGTCTCGTTACCAAAGAAAACGTTACAGTTTTTGAATCTAACGCCGACACATCTGATTCGGATTAGAATGATTTAAAAAATGTTTGCTAAGCTTCATTTATAGCTTTCCTTTCCTTTCCTTTCCTATATATACAATTTGCAAGCCGCAGTAGCATTTATAGATTATCTATAAATGCTACCACGGCATACGGGCGGGCGGGAGTTCCATCGTTAAAATATTTTTGTTTTGGTTTTAATATTGCTTGTGTAATAGTGAGTTATTTTATTCTTATATAAAATTACTATATTAATTTTAAAATTATACGCAGGCAAAGAACACTGATTTAGAGGTTTAGGAATTCGAATGTTTACGTTATCGGCAAGCCGTCGAAGGCGGCCCGATTAGGTAACTTGATACTTCGAAGAGACCGTTCATACTTTTCATAAACAAATCGACCCCAAATATTAAGCGCATTTTCTATAAGATCAGTCTAAAAGTCGCAGTGATCTGTTAAAGTAACTTGTGTTGTTTTATGTGCTTTGTTTTGGATGATTTAAGAAGTTTGAATATTTTGGTGAGTTTTCTCACAGAGCGTACTAATTTTATTTTTAATATTACCATTTTAAAATTATTCATTTACCCATTGTTTCTATTTATTTATCTAATATTTATTAAGGGTTTATACAGGCTAAACCTATTAAATTATTTAACAGTATTAAATAAAAACTAAATAGATAATAAACTAGAAATCATTCATTAGCTAGCATTTAAAAGGTTATTTATAGACTTAAGGCATTTAAGGATAAACGGCACTGTCTTTTCAGTGTTTAAACCTTTTAGGTTTGGGCTAACTATCTGGTGACAGGGTACCTCGCGCGTCATCCCTTGGTACTCACTGCACGTTCACTATAGTTAGTGCTATTGTCTAGAGTGGGTACGTCGCGCGTTTTCCCTTCGTACTCGTGTGCACAAATAATTATACTCTACATTAGCGAGTTTGTCATTATAATATATATGTAAATATATAACTTGTCTTGCGTATCTTTTTGGCTGCTAGTTGAATTTCCCAGATAATCGATTAACTGATAAACAAGATTAATATTGAAAATCAAGAATATTCTCAAAAATACAATAATCATTATTAAAACTACCAATTATACTAGAAATTAGTTGCTCAGGTATTTTTTTTATTTAGTTTCAGAAGTGTCACCCGACTACTCGACATCTTGACTTATTGTTTAGTATAAAATCAAATTAGTTTATTTGTAAGTAGTTCATTTTTATTATTTTACATTTATTTTAATATATCTTTATGTATTTTGCTTTTAATTTTATTCTGCGCCCTAATTTAAAATTTTTAACCCCACAAATTATCAGAAGTGGGATGTCGATAAAATAAATGTAATAAATTAATTGTCGAGGTGACACATTGAGTAATATTTTTTTTATTTTATTTTGGTTAGTGTCTAAATCGAGGACTCAATTATCAATCAATCATGAGCCCCCGTAAACGTCAACTTGCTCTCCGAACACCTGCTCATTCTGATGATCGCAGTCCTTCTTCACATCGAAACCGAAGATCTTCTCAAAGTACAGAGGAGTCATCTATCGATCGATTAACGGCTGTAATGGCCACTTTTATGGAAGCCACGGTACAGCGCGAAAGGACTAGTGCTCCTGCTGTAAGAGGAAATATTGTTCCTACCTTTGACCCTGAGGATAAAGGTCAGACGGTTTTGACTTGGTGCAGCAAAATAGATGAATTAAGAGAGATAAATAAATGGTCTGAGGAAGCAACTATTTATTTTGCTTTGTCCAAACTTCGAGGGTTAGCTGAGGTGTGGTATAAGGGCCTGACAAGCATTAAGTTTTCTTGGGAAGAATGGAAACAAAAACTAGAAATAGGATTTCCTTCGAAAAGAAATTTTAATACTGATTTGCAAGAGATGATGAACAGGAAAAAACAGCCTGATGAAAGTTACGCAAAATATTATTATGAAAAAATGGTTCTCTTGAATAGATGTAAAATTAATGGAGAAGATGCTGTCTCTTGCCTAATAGGAGGTATCAATGATACAATTGTCAAAACCGGAGCTACAGCTGGAAACCATCAGACACCTGAATCGTTGTTTACGTATTTAAGAAACCTTAGTACATTGCCTGGAACGTCAAAAGGTGACCATTACAATTCGAAGCACATTAACTCGAATAAACCAAAATTTGGAAAAGGTACATGTTACAAATGCCATAAGCCAGGACATACCGCCAATAATTGCAAGAAGAGAGACAGTTATCACCAAAATCCGAATAGAGTTGAGAAACGATGCTCTTTCTGTCGCCGTAACGGACATGTCGAAGAAGACTGTTTTCTTAAGAAGAAGTCAGAAAAATTAAAGCCTCTCCTATGACTAGTAACTGATAAGCAAAATCAAAAATTTTATAAAAAAATAACCATCAACGGAATGTCATCCTTAGCTTATGTAGACTTGGGTAGTTCGTGCAGTACAATTCGGAAACAAGAAATTGAGAGATTGTCATTACCTTACGACTCGAAAAATAAAACCATTTTTCAAGGATATGGTAATGGACAAACTGCTACAATAGGAATCTCATCTATCCCGATAGAAGTCGATAACATAAAAACTACCATTAATGCTCATGTTGTTTCGAATTTTTCACAGGAAATGCCAATTCTATTAGGAAGGAATTTTACGGAACTTCCGAACATAATTATTGTTAAGGATGACGTTGCATTGACTTTTTTTCCAAAAAAATGCTACAGAATTAACTACAATAGAACCTGATACTACCAACCAAAAAGTTGTACTAAGAATTGCAGAAAACTTTACCCTATTACCTAATCATTGGGGTCATGTACTGGTTTCTAGCGACAGTTACGAGGGAGATGTTTATATTGAAGCTAGTACACGACATCAAGAAGGTCAAGAGTACTGTATACCTCAAACAGTTTTAACTGTAAATAAAGAAAAACATTCAGTTTTACCATGCATTAGTTTGACAGATCAAGAAATACATTTTAGGCAAAACAAGGTTATAGCACGAGGCCAAAGCTGTATAGAGAATGAGGACT